TTTAAGCATAAACACTTTTCAGATTGTTGAATCCTTTTATCAATTTACAGAGTACTGAAATTATTGTTTTTATCAAATCTGCCCAACTTTATACATTTTGAGGGAAGAGAATTTCCCAACATCCTCATGCAGCCAAAATTACTAAAATTTGAGACTACTTACAGCAAATAATTTTTTTCCACAGAATGTGGACGTGCAACTGATATTTCTTTACATTTATAGTCATATATATATATATATATATATATATATATATATATATATAAAATTCCACTCTTCAAATTTATTTATTTATTTATTTTTATTTTTATTTTTTTAGTTGGAGTTTCACTCTGTCGCCCAGACTAGAGTGCAGTGGCTGCTCCCAGCCACCACAGCCTCAACCTGCTGGGCTCCGGCGATCCTTCCGTCTCAGCCTTCCAAGTAGCTGGAACTACAGGTGCGCGCTACCACGCCCTGCTAATTTTTTGATTTATTGTGGAGATGAGGTCTCGCCAAGTTGCCCAGGCGGGTCTTGAACCCGCGGGCTCAGGCAATCCACTCAACTCAGCCTCCCAAAGGCGCGGGATTACAGGCTGAGCCACCGAGCCCGGCTCTCTCTTCAAATTTAAACAAAACCTCTATTCTCTTCCCTTTTCTTTACTTCTAATTTCTCTTTCTTTTTTTTTTTTGTTGAAGTCTCACTCTGTAGCCCAGACTGGAGTGCAGTGGCACGCTACCAGCCACCGCAGCTTCGACCTGCTGGGCTCCGGCCATCCTTCCGCTCAGCCTGCCAAGTAACTGGAACTACAGGTGAGTGCTACCATGCCCAGCTAATTTTTTTATTTATTGTAGAGATGAGGTCTCGCCAAGTTGCCCAGGCGGGTCTTGAACCCTCAGGCTCAGCCTCACCTCGGCCTCCCAAAGCGCGGGATTACAGGCTGAACCACCGAGCCCGGCTAATTTCTCTCCATTCATGATTCGTTAATTCAATTATTTGTATGATAAATACCACTTTGTTGCGCATTACATGACAGTCCACTACTTTATAGACCTTTTCACCTGTATCACTAGCAGTTGCCTCCTTCCTGCATTAGTAGCACTGTAATTCAAATACACAGTTCATCAAATTGCATATGACTATGTCATGAATGTTCGACACTGTCCTATCAATAATAATAAAAGATTTACGTAATGCTTATCATGTGCCAGGTATTATTCTAAATGCTTACATAGGTTTATTCCTTTAACTCACAACAACTCTACAAATAGCTACTATTATTATCTCCATTTTATAGATGAGAAAACAGAGGTTCAGGGAAAGTAAGTACCCTGTTTAAGATTATACATGTAGCAAGTGACAAAGGCAGATTTGAATCCATGCCTTACTCACAGCATCACACTGCCTCATCAATGCGTGATCTGCAAATGCCAAGAACCTATTACTTCCCTTGGATATTACCAAATCTATCAGGGGAGCGAAAACTTATATTTCAAAAGACTATACCAACAGTCTTCTCACTTGAAATTATGTCTAGCACTCAAAATGACAATACCATTATGTATTAACTGCCAACTGCTCAAGGAATTTTTATATTAGAAGTTGCTACATGTTAAGAGAAAAGCTAATATTATAAAACAAATATCATAAGAATACCCTAAATGTATCAAATCCATTTTCACAATCAGACAATTCATGACTACTGACTGCAATGTGGAAGGCATCAGACATTTTAATATATATATATATATAAAACATTTCAAATATTGGTAAGAATTAACCATAGCTGTAGCATTATATTTTTTAATATTTCAGGAAACATATAAGTTATTTCTTCTCTGTTACAAAAAACTGACTTTTCTAAAAGTCAGTTCTTTCTGAAACATGATTTCAAATATAAAATTCCAAAGGTTTATGTTTTGACTATTAATAAAGTCAATTTAATTAGTTCATGGGCTTCTCCATATATTTGCATGTATACATCTATAGGCAAAGTATGATTGGTTTGTCCATAATTCTCCTGCTTATTCTGCCATTTTAAAGACTATAACAGGCCTCAAGAGAGATCACACAAAGATTCTATTGCTTAAGAGAATGTCAGTCTTTGGCACATTCAAGATAAAGAATCTAAGACAGCCACTGTCCACCTCCTTTCTCTTGAAGAACAGGCAATAAAGCTGAGCAATGAGGGCACAGAAATTTGTTTTGAAGGTCTTTTCCTCAAATTTCTTTCAACTGACAAAGTAACTGTGAACACGAATTAAATGTTCACTCTGAAGCTAAACATACATGCTTTGAGGATTTTTTAAAATTGCATTTAAAATCTAACTCTGTTTCTTTAGCACCATCCACTTGACTCGGACAGATGACTGAAACATGAGTGCAGGGGACTGTGAAATCTAAGAACAAAACAAGGAGCTAAAAGACCAAAGAGGAGAAAATTTCCCCCATGCAGAATAATTGTTTCTGTATAAATCATTCTGTGATTTTTTTAAAAAGTGACTTCTATGACCTATGAGGTAGTGGAAAAGGAAAGCCAAAATGACAAATTGCTAATCATGCCAAGAGACCCCTTTTCCCCTTCCTGATAATGTTTCCTCAACATGAGTGGTAGTTTCCTTAGGCAGGCCAGTGATAGAATGCTGATTTACTATATAAGTTATACATATCTGCATTTGTGGACTTAATATACCTTAAGCCTGGACTCCTTTGCAACATAAATTTCTAATAATGATAGGAGAACATGATAAATTATTGTGAAGAATTATATTTTCAATATTATATAATAATGACTACCTCTTTAAGAAACAGAAACAACAAAAACAGCAGTTGCTAGTTTTCTCTAAATTATTTACTAAAAAATGCTTTGAATTTACCTCATGCCACAACATATAAGATGAAATCAAATGAACAGCTGTTCTTTTGTTCCCATTAGAATAAAATCTTTTATATATCCCTTCATTACCTTTTTTTTTTTTTTCCTGAGTCAGAGTCTCACTCTGTTGGCCAGGCTGGAGTACAGTGGCATGCTCATGGCCACCACAGCTTTGACCTGCTGGACTCAGGAGATCCTTCCACTTCATCCTTCCAAGTAGCTGGAACCACGTGCCACCATGCACAACTACTTTTTGATTTATCGTAGAGACCAGGTCTCACTAAATTACCCAGACTGGTCTCGAATCCCTAGGTTCAGGCAATTCTCTTGCCTCCACCTCCCAAAATGCTTGGATTATAGGTGTGAGCCACCACATCTGGCTCCTTCATTACTTCTTAATCCTTAATCCAAAGTGCTCTGGGTAGTCTCACCTTAGCATTTCCAACCTGATTCTGTTTCTTCATTTTTTAAATACTCTGGGCAAATTAATCTTCCTGAAGTGCAAATATGATCCTTTCACTCTTCCCCACAAAAACCTCAAATCTCAAATTTTTAATGAATTAAATACTACCATCCTACCCTCATGTTTATGGTGACAAACCCCATAACAGAACCCCAATTTATCTTTATATACTCACCAACTAATACTCATCTCTACATATCCCTGCATTCCAGATAAATCAAACATTTGATTTCCTAAGCTGGGTGTTTCAGACTTCTTCCTTGCCTTTGTTCAAGCTGTTTACTCCATTTAGGCTATTTTCCTCACATCCAATCTTGCTATGCTGAAATTCTGTTTAAGGCCCAGCAGAAATAATATTCACTCCACAAAAACTTCCCTAATACTATCATTGCATTGATTATAATGCCTCCTTTTTTTCACTGTCAAAAGTATTTTTTAAAACTCGTGGATAGACTTTATCAAATTCCACCTTGTTGCATTTTTTATTTATGAGTCTTACCTGTGTAGCTTATAGCACAGTGTCTTATATATCATATTTGTTGAATGAAATGAAAATTGCTTTCAAAAGAAAACTAGGTAATTCTCTTAACATATTCTCCCTTCCCCTCTGTTTTTTTTTTCCTGATTTAAAAAAAAAATCCATGTTTAATTGAACATTTTAGTTCTTGATCTTTTTCCAAATAATCTCTTCATTTGTATTTCATAAAAATATAAGAATCCCAGGCCTGACAGTTCTTGCTGATTTGCTGTGGGCCTATCATACCACAATACTAACAACCCTCAGTATACTCAACAAAACTCAGTACTCAAAACTAGAGAAGCATTTTAAACATGGTAATCGAGTTAAGAAGCTCACTTGAGTTCCAAGTCTGTCTCTGGGATATTGAACTTTATTATCAATAAAGATGCCAAATGGCACCAGTACCCAAATTTTATCCCTGATGAAGTTGTAAAGGTGATCTAACCTGATAAGATTTTCTCAAAACATATCTTGCCTAAGCAACCTGAGTAGGCTATTACTGTTTATAAATAAGAATTTAAAGTTGAACATAGCCATTTACATATTGTTACAAAATCTAGTAGCAAAAATAAAGCAGCCCCAGATAAGCTAAAAGCAATACTCACATCTCACACCTACACAAATACATGGAATTGACTAAATGTTAGCCTTGATTTTTTTAAAAAATAATTTTTTTTTTTTTTTTTTTGAGTTGGAGTCTCACTCTGTCGCTCAGACTGGAGTGCAGTGGCCGCTCCCGGCCACCGTAGCCTCGACCTGCTGGGCTCCGGTGATCCTTCCATCTCAGCCTTCCAACTACCAAGCCCAGCTGATTTTTTGATTTATTGTAGAGATGAGTTCTCGCTGCCCAGGCGGGTCTCGAACCCACGGGCTAAGGCAATCCACTCACCTCAGTCTCCCAAAGGCGCAGGATTACAGGTTGAGCCAACGAATCCGGCTTTAAAAAATAATTTTAATACCAACATGTTTTAAGTATCTTCTCTGACCCCACCAATACCTTGATAATAGCAAAAACCTGAGAATGTATGGTATTAATTCTGATTTTGTTTTTATTTTAAGTTCAATGAGCTTTCTTGCCCAAACCTAATTTCTCCTAGGTTTTGGAGCTCTGCTGATCTGCATGGTTGATCTACTTACTTGGTCAATAGGTCATTTAAGTTACCTGTTGAATGAGTGAGCGAGCTTCTTCAGAGACATATTCTGGCATGTTCAAAGTAGTGTGAGTATTTATTCCTGCTGGATGGCACTCAACCAGAGTCTGAAACAATCAATTAGGTATACTTCTTATCACAAATAATATCATATTTTGTTCCATCACAGGAATTATAGACAGTAAATACAGAGAGCTCAACAATCATCTAATTGGAGGTGTAGTAATCAACCTAGTGCCACCTAAGCAGCTTAGGATAAGGGTCATGAGCCTTCTAATAGAAATGAAGACAATCATGATCACATCATCAAACTATGCTACTGTCCCTTTTCCTTTAGTTACAAAATGAATGGCTCATAAGAGAAAAGTTCAATCACACAAAAAAAAACTAAAAAGGGACTTAATTTCTCTAAAATGTTTTAATGTTCTTAAAAACCCTCAAAGATTAGAATTTGTTAGTAATTATACTATATATATGTATAGCACTTTACAGTCTAAATGTATGTAAAGGTGATCTGCAAACTCCACAACAATCTAAGTCAGTATTGTACACAGATTTAAGGTAGATGACTATTTTTAAAAGTGTAACTTAATTTCCTCTGTTTTCTTCCTATGAGACAATTTGCACAATATTTTATATCAAAGTTATTGATCTGAGAGTACAATTTCTGTCCTTAAGCTAAAACAGATAGGAAAAATTTACAGTATTGAGGGAAAAAATGTTAAATTTAAAACCTACATTAATTTTCTTAAATGAGAATTCTCTTCTGGTTTTAGACAAGACGTTTAAAATATCCAGAGAATTCTACTACATCCTTACATAAATCTCAGCGATTTGACTCTGTTAAAGCTGAATTACAGAAAACGAAGAGAAAAAAGGAGTCAGTCTTATATTTCACTATGTAACACTGTTACATAAAAGACTTTTACCATGAATTTATTCAATGTAATGAAATCAAGTTTTTAAAGAATCTATAAAAAAACTTGCATTTCTATGCTTGTTTTCAGTATCGAAGATTTTCTTAGTCCCTGACCTAGAAACTAAAAGCAAAGGCTAATGTTTTCAATATGAAATCAAGGTAGCATCTGGGTAAATGCATTAAATGTCCAGGTCATTGCTTACCTTGCCAGTGAGAAGTTCAAAGAGGACAGCACCCAAACTCCACCAATCACAGGCTTCAGTTTCTTCCGTTATTGCTCCAACCTCTAAACACACCAAAAAAGGTTGATATTAAAATTCCAAAGGTCAATTAAACCTTCAAAATTAACATGTATTAGCAAGGTGACCTTTTTAATGCTGAGAGAGCATATACTAAATACTACTGGGCTTTCAAAATTCCTGAACGTTACTTATCCCTTTGGTCACCTACTGTGGTTGCTTTTTTTTTTTTTAAATGCAGTCATATATTAAACTGAGACATTTGTTCTTTAGTTGATAGAGGGACACCTTCAAGATGCTTTCCTTAAAAGTTACATAAACCTACTGGATCAGCATTTTGCTTAGTTTTTTAAATTTGAGACTGTCTAGCTAGTTCTACCTCAGGGATGGCTTTTTGTTTTAGAGATAAAGACTTTAAGCTCTGAAGGAACTTTAAAAATTATCTAAACCAGTATTAATTATCCTCTTACTTACAGGTTAGAAACCAGAGAGGTGAAATGCTTTGTCCAATGTCATATAGTAGCAGAATAAAGACCTAGTTTATATATATAGTTTATATTTTATATATATAGTTTATATCTTCCCTCTCCTATACAATCATTTTCAACTAAAAAAAAGAGCATGTGAAATGCAAAGCCACCTATTTTGTTATTTAGAAGTACAGACAGATATATTGTTTTAAGCCACAATTGGAACTATTCACTAAAATAAGGGCTTTTGGAGTATCTACAAATTACAATTTTAGCTATATTATTGCTATCTCTTGCCAGCACAAGTTCCTGAAACGTAATATGAGTTTTTAGGTATCATCTTTCAGGTTTTTACACAAATCAGAAACAACTCCTCGTTTCACCATTTTTTGAGACTTTTAGTTCATAAGTCATGTTTAAGGTCTTCTTGTCCTTTCCTAATGGTATTTAATTAGACACTAAGCATTGCCAATATCTGTACTTTCGCCTCTGTTTGACTGAGAAAAACATAATTATTATTTGAGTATAGGTAGACCAAACTTCATAACAATTATGTTCAAAAGTTTACAAGTAGTTAAGTGGGAACAAGGAAAGTAATACACAGAAGTGGTAAGCAGGTGCCCATACTTTTAGCCATTGTTTAGTCAATCTACTTGTGTGGGAGAACCACCAAACTCACAAAATAGCTTGAGCTTTAAATCTTAAAGTAAAAGTCATGTGGATGAGAAAAAGAGCCATTCCTGTGCAAAATACTGAAATTACTCCATTTCAGCAATTTCTTCTACATCCCTTCTGAGTTTCAATCAGCCTGTGTAGCACTCCACACCTTTACAACTAGCTCTTCCCAGTCTATCCTGTTCTCGAAGTGCTTTATACCAAATCACAACGTAGCTGCTCTCAGCTAGATGCTAAAAAGAAACCAGATACTAATTTAAACTATGAGAATTGTGGGAATGACTGAGAGTCTCCTAATTTGAAAACAGTTGCTATATATGTTGTGGCACATCTATATGGTAAATAACCATTTAAAATAAAGTCTTCACAGCTGGGTTCGGTAGCTCAGCCTGTAATCCCGCGCCTTTGGGAGGCTGAGATGAGTGGATTGCCTGAGCCCGTGGGTTCGAGACCCGCCAGGGCAGCGAGACCTCATCTCTACAATAAATCAAAAAATCAGCCAGGTGTGGTGGCGCATGCCTGTAATTCCGGCTACTTAGAAGGCTGAGGCGGAAGGATCGCAGGAGCCCAGCAGGTCGAGGCTGCGGTGGCTGGGAGTGGCCACTGCGCTCCAGTCTGGGTGACAGAGTGAGACTCCAACTCAAAAAAATAAAATAAAATAAAATAAATAAATAAATAAAGTCTTCACATAAAATTTAAATATACAGGTAAATGTTTATATATATTACATCTTTTACAAAGCTATAAAACAATACATTTTAATTTTAAAAGTATGCATTTAGAGAAAAGACTGATAAGAAAAATATGACACAATGTTTTAGTGATTTGTCTCTGAGGTGGTGAGATTTCTATACTTGCTAACCTACATGAATACCTAAGTGGTATAATTTTTTAAAGAACTGCAAGATGACAGGAAAACATTCAGGTTTGTTGGAAAAGTTACTTTGGAGCAGGGAAGACAAAGCTATATAGATCTATCCTCCCTCTAATCACTACATAGTTTTCTCTATAACTTTAATATATCACATATTAGAACAGTGGACTAGAAGTACTGGGTTGAGTCTTAAGGAATTCACTCAATCTCATCTGTAACACGAGGGTTGGATCTGAGGGTCTCTGGGTTAAATTTAGCTCTAAATTCTATTTTTTGACATGCAAAGTTTCCCTAAAATATTTATCCTCATGAAGGACAAGCTCCAGGCCTCTGTTTCAAAGTACGCACACAAATGCTACCCTTCCCAGATTCAAATACACTGCCCTCACTCCTACCTTCCCATAGGGAGAAGCCACTGTCACCTTTGAAAGTGTGCTCTTAGAAACTTTAGAAAGGATGTGTGTTCTCGGGAAATTTACCATAGTTCTATCATCAAATATAACCTTTTGTGCACTTCCTTCCAGTCTAAAGTAAGCATGATTACATCATTTCCCTGTTCAAAACTCTTAAATGGCTTATCACTGACCATTAAATAACATTCAAATGTTTTGCCTAATCAGGCATGTACATATATAATTAGGCCTCCATAATAAGGTCTCAACCTATCAGATTCATTCAACAAATATCCATGAAGCAGCACAAACTAGGTACTATGCTAGGCACTATTCTTCCGCAGAACTCTATGCTTTGGCCACATTATCAAATAACGTGAAGTTAAAATCAGTTTTCCCACTAGTGTAGTTAGTGGTTTTATTTTTTAATATCTTTTTGCTCAAAAATTTCCATTATTCCATTTTCTTTAATCACACAACCAGTATATATTTCTTAGTTTTATAAAGGATTTATGTATTCACAACTCAGATCCAGATTATGTTTGCCATTGACTGCTGACCCATCTTGCTCACAAGATTCAGTTACTGATCAACCATCTCTTTTATAATCGTCACTTTCCATGTATGAAGGTTGCTTTGCTCAGTAGGCACACACTGCAATGATAGTTGCGAAAATAAAATAGTAGCCAATGGTTATTGATTACTTACTACAGTCAATAAGGACCTGTGTTTAACACTTTACATGAATTATTTAAAATTTCCAAGCAACCTTATGAACTTAATCTGAGTAGGGTGACTTTGGAATCCAGAGAGATTATCACATGTATGTGTTAATGAGACAGACAAGGTGTACTCTTTTATTGGTTTTTGTGAACTTGCCCAACTAAGGAGTGTAAGAACTAGGTTCACTGGCTTTATGCTGCTTTAATATCCCTGGAAATTTTCTGCCAGGGTCTTTAACAGGTAAATAGTTACGAAGATACTGCTTCAAATGTGAACTGCCATGGTGTCTGATGAGCCCCAGTCTGAATTTGAGGTAACAGACAGCAGGAAGAGACCCAAGAAGGCCCTAAAGTCAATTTTTCACATTTTTCAATGTGCTTGTTAGACAGTCCAGGTCACACTAAGTGGCACCTGAGATAACTGCTGATGACACTCTATCATGGTCAACTGCAGTCTACTTCTTTCAAATCCCATTTCTTTTACCCTCCGTCCTTGATCTTCACCTCCTCTTTCTTCCAGACAGCCTGTTTCTTTTCCTATCCCCTGATTTTGTCTTTCTTCCCTCCTCTTAGATGTGATTAGTTCAGTTTTCCAATGGCACTCAGACCAAAAGCCACTTCTGGTCCATCTAAGAAAAGTTGCTTCTGAAAGTATAAAGGTAGCTAGACTGAATGTCATCTTAAATTTGATTGGGCTGGTAAAGAAGGATAACAACTCTAGAAAGGTAAACTGGCTTTTCATGGGAACCTGGAAAAAAAGACACTGAGCAACCGAGCAAGTTTAAAATTCATCTCCTTAAAAATAAAGCTTGAAACTCTTCAAAATAACTTTTTATTAAGCAGAGATTCCTTAATTAATGTGAAATTGATATCATGACCAACTTCCTTGATTTTCATAGATGACTCTAAGCTACCACAAAGAGTTCTGTATTTAGATATAAAGAATGTCCTAACAACTATAAAGTTTGAGTACTAGAACAGGAGAATGCAAGAACTTGTGGAATTTCTTCTTTATGGGTTTTAAAACAGAAAAAAAAATTTCTTTCAGTTATCAAAACAAAGGACCTTGGTTGTCCTTTTAACATCCTTAAGGAACAATAGTTCTTGAATTAAAAAAATTTAATTAGCCAGGCATGGTAGTGCACACCTGTAATTCTGGCTACTTGGAAGGCTGAGGTGGAAGGCTTGCCGGAGCCTAACAGATCGATGCTGGGGTGACCGTGAGTGTGTCACTGCCCTCCAGCCTAGGCGACAGAGTGAAACTCCAACTCAAAAAAAATTTTTTTAAGATATACACTGAAACTGTATTGCCAAAAAAGAAGCCTGAGGTGGTGTGGCTGTCAAAACTACTACTCTGAAACAACTTTACTTGCACTGTACAAACAATTTAAGCAGAAAGAAAAACAAAACTGACTTACATATAAAGATTTATTTATACCATGACAGTTAATACAAACAACAAGTGCATAAAGTCAAATGTAGAGAATGAAAAGAAATACCAAATAAAGCTATGAGGCTAAAGTATAGCATAGTAAAGTTGAGAAATCCCTTTTAACTCCTACCTTGAATTTGAAAAATCTTTGAAAACATTTTAAACAATCTGATTTTGTACCTGAAGAGATGAATAAAAAAGACATTAATAATAGAAAAAAAAAAGAATGAATTCTACCATTGTTTTGCCACTTTTCAAAAACACTTTTCCTATGAAGTTCAAGGTGTTAATTTTCTGTGCATGTCCTTTACCTTATCACTACATTCTATATTTGCAATTTCTAGGCTGGGCAAAGCAAGCACAAGTGTAGTGGTACTACAGGCAGTAAGTGATCGGGGAAAAATAAACTATTCCCTTAGAAAATAATTTCTCAGGTTATTCCCATAAAAACTCAAAAAGAGATGGTGATATCAAAGAATCCT